ATATATATTAGTAATCAAACTATAGGAATTGACCTGGTATTCTGTAGAGCATTGGTTCCCCAAAGCTGGGGATTTTGGAAATCAAATAAAATGTCAAAACTTGTTATGGCCTATTTTTCTTATAGATCTTCCAAAATCAAAATAAAACAGTCATTTTCATGTAYATCCAGCAGTATTTATAGAAAATAAAGTCTATCTAAACACCTTGAACTTGGCCTCCGTCTCTTTAAKAACCTCCTACCATTTCTGACACTCCCACTTCAGCACATTTTCAAACAATGCTTTGGGAGAGGGMTGCTCTGTGGAGTGGGAGCTCAGCTGCAGACTGAGCTCCAGGGAGGGGTTTTGTGTAAATAGGCGGAGCTTTGTATCAGCATGAATTAAGGTAGCTCCACATGGCTACTAGAGGAGATTCAAGGATTTCTCAAAACATACATCAATGAGTCAAAGCAWCACTCTGGGTATGTTTTTGAAGAGAGAATGACATTACAACATGATATAAAGCCAAAAAAAAAAAATTTTGGGAGGGCAAGGGGATCGTATAGCGGTTTTGTTATTAGCTTAAGCATTAACAGATGAATCACAAGTCTCTGTTGCTGTTATTTTATCAATCAGAAGCTAAAATGTTGACTGCTGTAGAGGATTATAAACACATTTCAGTCAATAATAAATTAGTAAATATAAACWTCTCAGCTCTAAAGTCTGATTACAGTTTCTGATGCTAAATAGTTAAACAGCTAATAACTTTAAATAAATTAGTAATAAATACAATAAACAAAGACAGGTTTATGAAATAAGGAGGAAAATTAGTCTTCCATTGTGTGGCACAATTGTTGTTGGCTGCAAAAAGGACAATGTGAGTTATGTCAGGAATCTCTCTAGTCTTCCCACTCCATTGGCAGAAGCCAARCATGTGGATAACCCTGACCGGGCAATTTCCTTGGAACAGCGGAGGAAGAACCGCCGTGCTTTGTCGTGGTGGTCCCACTCTCCTTAATGGYCGTGGAAGTTTGCTTTTGATTCATGAGGGCTTTGGTCAGGGAGTGATCCAACTCTGACGCCTCATCAGTTGGTCGTCCTCGCAGAATGTGTCTGACAGTGGGGAGGGCCAAGTCGGACTTACAGTCCAGGTAACTTTTGAGGTTGAGCTCCGGGTAAACTTCATCTCGGAGAGACCGAACCAGCCGACTCTCAGCGTGAGACTGTTGAAGCCGATGGAAAACTTTCTGCTCCAGTGAAACATAACAAAGTGGGTTTTTAGCCAGCCCCGACTTTCCCACGTGGCGGTTGGTCTGGCTTCTCTTCCCAAGAGACGGATTCGAAGTCTGCTGTTTGGGTTTGGCCAGAGACGCACTCTGCCTGTTCCTCTTGCCAGCATGGAGCTTCTGCGAACCGCTGGGCAGGAGCTGAATCAACCCTTCATCAGCCAAGTCTGCAAGGTCACCAACCAGYAGCTGCCGCACAATCCTCTTCCTCATAAGGGGAGGTGTGACCGTCAGCGTACTCTGCAGTCCTCTGCCTGCATCAGACACAGAGCCAGGGTTGATTCAGCTTGCTGGGACACACCTTGGAACCATGTTGGGTTTTCATTTCTGCCATGCAACACTGCTGGAAATGCAGCACGARCCATCGCTTGCTAAATGCCTCTGAGGAATGTTAATAGTAAAGGATTCCACGCTGCCAAGTTGAAATGTGCCATTAGAGAAAGAAGCGCTGGGAAAAAAACTGAAAATAACATGTGCATCTGTGCCACAGAATCAGATCTGGTTACCATAAAGTGGCAAGCCAGGCAAGTGCGAGAGTGCTTCTCAGTATGTGAGAAAAATACAGCAGCTGATTTCATAAAACTGCCAATCAAATGTAAAGGTTGTAAAAGTTGTCAGTATAAAGCACAGCCACAAGCAGGTGATACTTAAGCCAAAGCCAGCAGGACAGACCGGTGCTCTGTAGAGGAATAAGCGCCTTTTTCCACTCAAGCGCCAACAATAAAGCAAGCATGTTTTGATTTTCATACTCACCCTCCTTGAACGACACCAGGACGATTCTGCTATCGACCGACTGTGGTCCCCTGAAGTTGCTCTGTAGTGGCAGATGTGCCGAGTCCTGTGAGTTTGAGGAGTACATGGCTGTTGCCAGGGCCAGAAACTACAAAGACACAACAAAACAAGAACGCACAAGTAAATATGACAAAACAAACAGCATCAAAACGTATAAAAAACCCAACACAATCAGTTAAAGCACCTGTTTTTGGGAAATGGTCACATGATTTCTGAAAATCGTCCACAGCACACTCGGATAGCAGGGAGGAGTGGTCAGCGAGCCRTCGTAGCGGTAATACTCATCTAAACGTGTCGGCAGCAGCGCTCGGATGTTGAAAGCAGGTACCTGCACTTTCTGATCTGATGATTGAAATCATAAAAACAGTATAAACATTTCATGGTCACACAAATGAGTGGATAAGGATTTGAGAAAAAAACTGACATCAAACCCAGAAGTGGCAGATGAGAAAAGAGAGAGAGCCTGATGGCAAAACAAACCATTATGAAATGTTAGACTGTWCTTCTAGAGCATTTTCTAGTCACCCAGGCTACAACACAATCTGTGTCTCTTTTTYARCCCATCCAGACTWAACKCTACARTAATCTGAAAACATMTTTTTGTAGACTAATCAGTGGCTCWGTTGGTGCAGCTGTTGCCTCTGAGCAAGAAGGTTGCCAGATTGAATCCCAGCCAGGGACCTTTCTGGGTAGAGTTTGCATGTTCTCTCCATGCATGGGTGGGTATTCTACTGTACAGGTACCCCAGTTTCTTCCCACAGACCAAAAACATGACCATTAGACTAACTGGTAACTATAAATTGTCCAGGTGTGAGTGAGAGTGAATGGTAGTTTGTCTCTATGTGTGTCTCTGTGATGGACTTGACATCTGTCCAGGTGAGGGTGTACCTCGCCCCTCGCACAGTGACTGCTGGATATGCACCATACCCCCGAAAGGAAGAAGCAGGTAAAGATAATGGATGGATAGATGGATAATCAGTGCTTCAGATCACACACACACATAGATGGAGCACATTGGAGGCAATAGTGTCTTGCTCACGGACACTTCGACATGTGATTGAATACTGATGGAACCAAACCTCTGACTCTCTTGTTGGCGGAAGCCTGTTTTAACCACCGAGCCTGAGGATTTTTCAMTGATCTCTCRGTAAATGCTCTTGGTCACTCAGTAATTTTAAGAGAGCACCTTTGGTTGCACAATGAGTGCTCAATCCACTCAAGCGCAGCATGACAGATTAGTGGTTAGCACTGGTGCTTCAGCACAAGAAGGTCTTGGGTTCAATCCCTGGTTTGGCTCTGGGGTCTTTATGTGCAGAGTTTGCATGTTCTCCTTATGTTTGCATTCCTCGGTTTCCTTCCACCGACCAAAAAAACGTGCATGTTATGTTGCTTTCTGGCTCAGGCCTCCCATGCAAAAAAAGATCTCAATGGGATTTACCAGGTTAAATAACGGTAAATAACTACAAGGGGGTTTGGTTGGTTTTGGTGTCTTCAAAGACAAGCTGTTGACCAATTATCATAGACCTTCATAAAATTTGCAAATGAATATTTGGTCCCTCAGTAAGCGCTCACAAAGGTTTGGGGTGTCCACAGAAACAACTTTTTTTATTGATTGTTGGAGTCTGCTGAGATAACAAGACAATTATTTGTTGCTCAATGACTGGCCAGTGGTCTATGTCTTGAGGAAAGAGGGGTTTAAAAAGTGAGGAGTATTTTACTTTATACCCACCTTTGTACTTGATCCCATTGATAAACTTCAGAAACTGTTCATAGGCTGGATTGAACTCCCCAACCTTAACAGAAAGCATAGGTAGATGGTTTTAGTCCTTAAAAACAACCTGTCATCTGTCTCAGCTCATGAGTTCTGAAAAAGCTCACCTCAATCAGCACACCGAGCACAGCCAAACCATCCGATTTATCAACAGCACTGGAGATGTTGGGATACTTGTCCGAATTGTAATGAACAACGTGCATCTGTRGATCCAAGAAAAAATATATCAACATCTAACAGAAAGAGGAAAATAACTTGTGTGTGTTTTTCTTGCTGAAGGTTCGATGTTATGCACAGGTCAGTTTTCTTTAGTACCACACAAAGACAAGCTCACCATTCTGGTCAAATTTAAAGATATTTTAAACGTAGACTAACGTATATGTTCTCACTGTTTATTAGCCTGRTAAAAACCAGACCCTTGTCCTTCACTTTTCTCCGTACAAGGGTCTGGACTCGCGGCTATAGAGAAGCGATTCTTGCTGGAGGCGTGGCCTCTGCTGAAGTTTAAAATGATTGGATCGAGGGTCTGGACTCTCGGCTATAGAGAAGCGATTCTTGCTGGAGGCGTGGCCTCTGCTGAAGTTTAAAATGATTGGATCGGTTGGCTGCGACGTATGTGTGACGTATTCATGACAGCTCCACTGTGAAGGAGGCTAAGCTAAGAAGCTAACCGGAAATCACGTGCTCTGTAAACAACCCTACTGGGAGGAGAAAAGTACCGAGCCAAACGAGACAGCTGTAAATTAAAGCTGCTGCTTTGTCAGACAAATTTAATTTAATTTGGAAGCCTTATCAACACGGACTGGCTTCATTCACTTCCTCCACTGCCGTATGCTAAACTAACCATCAGACACTGGGTAGAAATCAACGTCGTTCAAACCTCTGCCTTCTGTTTGCTGATTGACCCAGGTGAAATAAACTACAAGCAGACACTGCGCAGAAAATCACGTTCTGTTCTCTGATTGGCCCAAATGAAATGCTCCCGAAGAAATCCTTGTCTATGGGAGAAATCCCAGACGGAGCAGTGAAGGGAAACTAGAATTGAGCGGATCTGCGTAGGAAGGCAAGGTCCAGGCTAACTGTTTCTGGGAAATGTTAAATTTCTCTTCTTTCATTTCTAAATAAAAATCAACCCAACCTTTTTGTTAAGAGTTGTGGTTCTGGAATTGACTTAAAAAGACGCAGGATGTGTCCAGTAAGAAACTCCTCTAAAACCACAGCAATTTACATGTGGCAGCACTGCAGCTGGAGCACAGCGAGAAAAAACTGCATACTGTGACTTGAACTATGCAAAATGTTTGAACTAGTTTGATATTTTCATATTTTTTTTAAGTTGTGCTACTGTATCTTCTGCTTAAGCTAAAGTACCTCAGTAAAGTATTTGGTTAAAACAGCTCATTGAAGAGAACAGACAAACAGTCCTCTCCGAAGGTGGCTGAAAACCACAACATATAATTGTCTGGTGCTTTAATCCTTTCAGACTATGCAGGAACAAGACACAGACGTACTGGACAGCATAATTAAGCTGACTTATGTCTGCTTTTCAGTAAGAGATGCAATGGAGCAAAAATATGCAACGCTAAAACAGAAAAAGAATTAAAAGAAAAACAAACTTTTTTGGTCTTATTTTAGCAGTRGAAGTTCTCTTTAAACACATCAATGTCTTTATTTGCTTTTGTTTCACAAAACAATCGGTCCGTTTCAAGAATAAAGTGTAAGCTGCACAATAAGCACATCCTGTCAGTGTCTGACGAATACAAACCGAATGTTTGCTGCATCATCAAGAAACTGTAACAGATGTTAAACTTTTCAGTTTCTTCATCGTGAGCGGCGTCAGCTTTAAACGCTGTCAGCGTCTCGGATTCCTCCGTCAGTCAGAAGTCTCACATTTATGTCATAAAGTCTTAAATCATTTGTCTGCTGCCAAAGATGCTTTCATCTGAAGCAGGAAATGAATGCATTTAGTTAACATTTATACAAGAAGTTTATCACTTCAAAATGTTTTATTGTTGGGTGGAGAATATTTTAACATCTCTGTATAACTTTGGTAACTGTGAACTTCGTCCTTCAAAATCCCATTCAGCTTTTAAAAAAATCAACCAATTAGATCTTTAAATATGTTCAAACAGGGTGATGTATCTTTTTATGTTGAACTTGAGTTAATGTTCATTTTGCCCTGAATGTGGCTTTTTATGTGGAAACCTGTCCAGGGTGTACCCCGCCCCTCGCACTGTGACTGCTGGATATGGGCACCAGTGACCCACGCAACCCTGAAAGGAATAAACGGGTTCAGATAATGGACGGATGGATGGATGTGGCTTTTACTTGACCTTTTCATCGCTACTTCTTAATTACCCATTTTGACCACTATTTTTTGCTGAACAGGTGACAATTTAACCAGGTACAACAGGCAGCGAGGTCAGCTAACAGTGAAGTTCTTCTGCGTCAGGATCAGTGTCTCTTAAGTTGTTTTTTGTGGCTTTTGGTGTTTGTTGTTTTATGATTTTCCTTGTTATTTGTTTCGTGTTGTTTCTTATATGTGTCAGGTTTTTCTCAGTGCCTCCTGTGCCATCATCACTACACTTTTCCTGAGACAGCTTCTGCTCCTCAGCTCCTGCCCCGCCCACTCTCACCTGTTCTAAGTTCTCATTTTGCCCAATATCAGCACCTGTCCATAAAGCCCCTCAGTTTTTCCCTTCACATCAGTCTGGCATTGTGTGTGTTTATACCACCTMCGGTTCTCCTCAAGTGTTGCTCATTTGTAGTTTTTACTGCCATGTCAGCCTTTGCTTTTGTTTCATAAATTTAAAGTATTTCTTCAAGCTACTTGTGTTTTCCTGCACTCCTGGGCCCAATTACCCCAAACCATAGTTTTATCTCACTTCAGTGTTTCTGTAGACAGCAGGGTGCAGTGTAGTTTTATACTCCCTATAAATCAGTTAGAATATTCTGATCCATGTAAAAGATTTCAAAGAAATGCAAGTTTGCAACGTAACAGGTCCTAAACAAAGCAGAAAAAATTTAAGTAAAAAGTAATTTTGGAAATAAATATGGGTGGAGATGCGGGGTTAATTCTAAAATCTGCTGTTTGTATGTTTGTTGTTGTTTACCTCTGCTGCGTACTGTTTGCTGTTCACCATGTGTTCAGAACCAGAGGGTCGGCCAGAGGAGCCCCAGTGGAAATGCAGCTGAGCTGCAGCGTAGCGATGACGCAGGCTGGAGATGAACATCCGTGCGGGCAGAGATACTTGCACTGAGGGGGGGAATGAATAAATAAAGAGAAATTCCAAACACACGTCAACAAGCAGACAGAGTCACCTCACTTCACAGCAATCAGGAGGCATTAATCTAAACAGTGGAGGTCAGTCAAAGTCATGTGGCTGCATTTAAAGCAGCTTTAGTGATGTATGTTGCACTCATCATGTTCATCAGTGTGTCATGAATGCTTACGCAGGAAAAAAAACCTCTGTCAGCTCGTTTCAAACGCACGTCACACAGCGGCGTCTCTCGGCTTGAGGAGCGGGGGGCCGTCATGTGTGCACACATAGGCGTTTGTTCCGTCTTTGCGTTCTGTCGCTCGCAAACGTGTCGTTAACGTAGTTTTCTGAATCATCAGCGTGAGTCGGCAGACGCTGCTTTGCATGTTAAGCACAACTGTCACGGAAAATTCCTGATGCTTTTCTGACGGACGTCCATCAAATCGGCTCTGCAGAATCCCACTTAATGCAAAGCACTTGACGCACTTGTGAATATTTGTTTGCAAGTTTATTTCATTAAGATGCAGCAGAACCAGCAGAGGCAGAACAGCATTCTTWGCTCCAGTTCTCTCAGGCAAAACTGTGAGCTCTTTCTTTAAGATAATAAGAGAGTGATTACAGAAAATGACTGAGGTCATAGAAGGATCATTCTACCGTCATTTTCTTTGTGTTGACCCAGAAATTAGCTTTCAACATTTATCTGATGCCATTCTTTCTGAATACGCTCTGATTTCAGAAACTTGTATATTTGAATCCAAATATAATTATGTTTGAGTTTAACGCACAGCTGTAGGTTTACCTTCAGAATTATACATTTTGTCAATGCTTTCATTGATTTATACTCACAAGAGTGTCCATTATTGCCCAAGGTGAGTTGCTCATTCGGTGGCAAGTTGTAGTTCTGAACCTCAATGGGACGTAAAGTCGGATCAAACCTCAGCAGCTCTGACCTGATGTCTATAGGAGACTGGAAGGCACCACCGCAGTACGGATAATGCTTAGACCAGTGATGCTCTCCATCTGGACCAGAAAGGGGAAAAAAAAGTTTCATTTTTGAAAAGAAGACAAACAAAACCGTCCCTGTAGACAGCTGATCGAGGAACAGGTTCCACAATGAGCTTCTTCTAATTTATTTATGTAAAATARTCTTCTCACGGTAAAAGTTTCTGCAGAAACTTTGATTTTCAGACCASTGATGTGCAATCCAAGATAAAACATTAATAAAATGTGGGTTAGGGTGGGCAAAAAAGGGTGGAGGCAAATGTGGATGCYTCAACGTTCCCACCCAAATTTAATGTGCTAGTCAAGGGATTTGGACTTGTAACCTTCCGATTACAGACTGCCATATTCCCCCAAATAAAATACTCTGTAAAACAAGTTTAACGACAAAAATGACCACCATTGCAAAACACCAGACACCTTCAGATTCTAGTGTTCAGATCTAATGTTTGTCCTCTGCTTGAGGGAGAAGCGTTGATTTTTAGATCAACTGTATGACTCAGTGGTGGTCGTGTCAACAGAAAATGTTACCAGCCTTATAGAGAACTGACTGCAGCAAATAAATAAATAAATAAATAAATAAATAAATAAAACAAAACATGTCCCAGGGCTCAGAGTGTAAGTGAGAATAAAATTCCTGTCCAGCAGTTTTAATGAGGCTATGAGGGGTTTGTTGTTGACACTACTGTATAATCTCAATCAAGATAGGATTAAACATTTAGATAACGAGTTGCAGTGAGTTTTGATATCGATATGATTTAACGAAATATTCATGTTTTACACGTTTTGAAACATTTACGTATTAACCTTTRCACAGTTATGTATAGCCTAAAAAAYATTTTTGTTCAACATTTCTGAAAATTGTATTGTAAGCAGAGAACGTGCATTTACTGTGAAAACACAGTTAACAACTTTACTAAAGCGTGTTCTAGAAGCTAAAACTGGTGTGTTAAAAGAAGCTAAACACTTGCTAAAACTTAAAAGTAGCAGTACATTACCAAAATGTTAAAGCAGCTTAATATAAAAAGTAGCCAAAGACCAAAAGCTGAATATATTTCAGCTAAAAGCTAAAAGTAGCAAACCACTAAAATCCAAAAGTAGCTAAAAGCTAGCAAACAGCAAAAAAATATGAAAATTGTTTCTACTGTAGAGGCTAAATGTAGCCAAATATTAAAAGCTAAAAGTAGGACTCAGTTTTTCATTCACTTGTCCCCTTTTTTAGGGTTCGTCACAGCAAGCTATTTTCGCACAAATTTTATCAACTGTTTCACACCGAATACCCTCCCTGACACATTCAGGACTCAAACCTGCAGCCTCAAAACTACGAGACACTCACCACTGAGCCACTGCAGCACCCCCTACAAATGAAAAGCAACAGAAAACTAGAGCCAGCATGCTGATGCAGATTTTAAAGAGAACAACATTTTTGAATGAACTGAGGCAATCTCAGTTTCTATGGGGACAATAATTGTAAATAAAGATTTGAGAAAACTGACAAAAACCAAAAGATTTTGCCCCGTTTTCTTCAATAAGCTGAACAATTTAATGCAATGATTAAAACAGCACAAAGTTTTTGGACGTAATTTGATTGCCCATAATGTCTGAATAAATGAGTAATAATAATAATGAATCCCCACTCACGGTGCAAACTATAGACAGGGTTGATCAAACTGAACCCGAGGCGCCTAAAAGACTGATCAGAGAAGGAAAAGATGTWGTGGCAAAGACAGTGTGCAGAGAACAAAAACTGCACTTATTCTTCATCCAGTCGCTTCACCTGCATCAAAGTTTGTTTCATCATCCAGTCCTTGAGTGAGGATGTGTGAGAGGCGGCGACACGGTGAGAAGAGGTCGTGGCGTGACCACAGTTTATGTAAGAGAGACTCGTGGGTCTAGAAGCGTTCAGACCTTAAGGCGTGACACAAAGGCAGCCAGCCACTAATGAAATGTTGTGAAGGCAGTTTGTAAATGAACACAATAACATGAGGTGATGGGGGTGATGTCAGTGCTCGTCCTGCAGACTGTTTGTTATTTCTGCATTCGACACTTTTCTCCATTTTACTCTTATTGGACATGCAAACAGTAAAAAGTAWCATCCTGTCAAAATCTTTGTTTTTCTCTCAGTGTTGGAGAAAATGTATTCTTGRCACCTGATTTTTCTTTGATGCTCAAATCACAAAATGTTTAAAAAGTTAGCATTTTAGTGACTGTTTTCATACCCCAAATTATATTTTATTAGAAATATAATATAGTATTTATCTGTTACAGTAGTTTTAGAAAACATTGAGTAAAGTTAACTGACACAGTGAGTAAAGACTTACCATCATAGGTCCATTTGGCACCTGAAACAGACCAAAAACAAGTTATTCAATTATGTTACATTAAAAAAAAGTGAATTAATTGCATTTGTTTGATCAACAAATTCAAAATGAAGATGATAAAAATGTCTCCATAAGCATATAAAGTTTACACATATGATGTCCTCTCCATCTGTCCTGCAGAAGGATGCAGACGGCTTTGTTTTGTGCCCTTACCCCTCAGTGCACTGAATAAAGTCAGCGGCAGGACAAGGCTGAGAGTGGAGCTCAAACTGTGCATCTTCAGTCTGATCACAGAGCCGTCCAGAGCAGGATCCTGGAGCGCCAGGCTCAAACCCCTCCAAAAAAGCCCTTTTTATACTCCTGCTGTCAGCTCCTCTGACGTCAGAGCAACAACCGAGCCGTCAGAGGCATCAAGGCACCGGAGGGTGACGGCTGCAGAGCAGRGGCCGAGGGAAACCTCTCATTTCTGTTTCCCCACCTCAGAGCTGCGGCGGGAGGGTTGGAGCTGAGAGGAGGAGCGCACATCCAGCTGTCTGACAGGCTCTGAGCTGGACTCAGGCAGGTGTTTGAGCGCCTCACACAGCAGAACCCTGTTAGCAGCTGCTGAGTCAGCATTCTCATTGTTGTTCTGTTTTTTTATTTTATTTTATTTTTCATTGTTTGTTTGTTTCTTTGTCTGTTTGTTTCTTTCTTCTGTTTTAGCTCTTCAGATGATCAAAATATTCACCTCTTTTAGAAGTATGCTATAACTAAGTTTCTGTAATTGTTACATTTTTCTAAATTATTTTCAAATGTTTTCTCTCTAAAATACATTAAGAGCTTCTCAGTTCTTTCCAAGACGTGTTTTTTTTAATCCGCTTTACTTTTAGCTGTCAGTTATCATTTTGCTTCTTGTAGCATTTCCTACCTTAGCTTTTAGCTAATCTTTTCAACTTGGCTCAAAGGCAAGCAGCAAAATGAAAAACAAAAACCTACTTGATAAATATTGATACAGACATTGATAAACCTTCATCATTAGAGCAGCACGAGGCATGAGCGCTGGAAGTAAAGACTCATAACAAGTTTCGATCTATTTGGATGAAGAAAAACGGACAGTTTGAGGATAAATTAGGTAATCTGAAAGAAAAAATGCTGTTTCTATTTGTTTCAAATAGACTGATTTGATCTGTACTTGTACTATTTTAGATTAGCAAATAAATATTTTGAACTAATGATTTTATTACTCACATGTTCATTTGGAAATATAACAACCTGTTTTTTTGCTTGTACCCCGACAGGATAAGTGCTTATAATAATTATTTTAACACTTTAAACAATAGCATAATTTCTCTGATCTTAATTATTTAAATTAAGTCCAAAGAGAGACTTTCAAGAATCAAGAAATGCTGATCATCACAGATAAAATGATGAATGAGATCAAATGCTTCTGGAACAAGAAAAAAGTCAAAGTTCTGAGTAATGTTGATAAAGTATCTGACCTTGCAGAGAAGATTCTGGAAATCACAGCTGAGTATCCAGCTCTGAAGACACTCATCATTCATACAGGAAGTGATGAAGTTATGAACCGACAGTCAGAAATCTTGAAGGATTTCATTCAGTCGCTGAATGCAGTTAAAAGTCTCAACATGGATGTGTTCCTCAGTGGGCCCGTTCCTTCAGCAGACTGTTTGCTCTTTTTGGTTTTTTGGAAAAGTTCTGTGCTGACCACTCTGTGAGATTTGTGTTTAWCTTTGATCTCTTCTGGGAAAGACGACATCTCTTCAAGTCTGATGGAATGACTTTGGACCGACATGGATCGGAGCTGTTAGCTTCAAACATGAAGTATTTCCTGAATCAAGTTCCGGCTGGAACCAAACAACAGGAGAGTGATTAGCTGACGTCTGAGGCTGAAGAACAACAGCAAAAAACTGAGACACCAATAGAATACAACGTGCAAGTGGCTGATAAGGAGACTGAACCAGAACCACAGAGAGGGGAGTTACTTCAAACTGCTGAACTGGAAGAACATCTGGATCCATCAACATCACAAACAGAGGAACCAGAAAATGTGTTCCCCCAGCCTACAACTGAAGAAAAACTGACCACTTCTCCTCCACCAGAGGAACCAAAACCATCAACAAAGAATGAAGATGTAAGATGTACAGTGGGGAAAATAAGTATTTAGTCAGTCACCAATTGTGCAAGTYCTCCCACTTAAAAAGATGAGAGAGGCCTGTAATTGACATCATAGGTAGACCTCAACTATGAGAGACAAAATGTGAAAAAAAAATTGAGAAAATCATTTTGTCTGATTTTTAAATAATTTTTTTGCAAATAATGGTGGAAAATAAGTATTTGGTCACCTGCAAACAAGCAAGATTTCTGGCTGTCACAGACCTGTAACTTCTTTTTTAAGAGGCTCCTCTTTCCCCAACTCATTACCTGTATTAATGGCACCTGTTTGAAGTCTTTAACAGTATAAAAGACACCTGCCCACAACCTCAAACAGTCACACTCCAAACTCCACTAT